AAACAGATGGATCTTAGAGAACTGACTGTGGCTTATCAATCAGGGGGTGACTACACTGCAGCTACGGTTCTAGGCGTGATTCCGTTGCCTGAGGAGGTTAACACAGCCCCTGGTCCCCACATGCAGCTATTGATCTGGCAAATGTTTTTTGCTGTTAGTAAAGACTACCAGAAGCACCTGGCTTTATCTGGCAAGGCCAGCGATCCACCTTTCGCTCTCCTTCCTCGGAGGTTTATCCTACTTCAGTTTGGCCCTATGCCATAATTTCGTCCACTCTGACCTTGATTGCATTTCTCGTAAGACATTGCATGGGTCCACTGCGTTGATGACATTACGCGGATCAGGCAGGCCTAAGGAGCAAGTAGCAACTGTTCTAGACTTAGTGGTGAGACATTTGTTTGAGGGTGGGAAATTCAGCAAAAACTCGGGAGCTTTCCACCTCACTGAAATTCTAGGGCTCCGGTGGTATGGGACAGCTCGAGAGCGCTTTCCTGAGGTGAAGGCTAACTGGTTGCATTTGGCCCCTTTCACAGCCAAAGAAGAGGCACAATACCTAAAGGGCCTCTTTGGATTCTGGAGGCAATAGATTTCTCATATTGCTCACAGAATTTGTCGGTTTTACCATGTTCCCCATCGTCCTGAAGCAGCAGGCCCGATAGAGTGGCGGAACAGACTTTTGAAGACTCAGTTACAGCACTCCCTGGAGGCGGCAGTACCCAGCTGGGCTGGGGCAGTGTCCCCAAGTTCTTAGGCTGTGCTAGCCTAGAGGTTCTTGTTCCAAAGGGAGGAATGCTCCCACCGGGAGACACAACAGTGACCTATTCAACGGGACATTAAGACTGCTACCAGCTACTTTGGGCTCCTGTCTCTGATACAACAGATAAGGAAGGGAATGGCTGTACTGGCCCGGGTGACTGATCCTGATTACCAGGGGGAAACTGGGCTGTGACTGCACCATGGAGGCGAGAGTATGTTCACAACACAGCACAACCTCTAGGGGATCTCAGTGCCACCGAGTCCTGTGACTAAAGTCAATGGAAAACTACAATTCAATTCAGGCAGGACAACCAATGGCTTGGATTCTTCAGGAATAAAGGTTTGGGTCACCCCACAGGCAGAGCCGTGACCAGCTGAGGTGCTCGCTGAGGGCAGAGGGAGTATGGAATGGGTAATGGAAGGCAGTTATAAACATCAGCTACAACTACATACTCAGTTGAGAAACAAGGCCTGTGATTATTACACTTCTTGTTTTGTGTGTACATAACAAATATGTATTATAAATACACACATATTAAGCAATTTTTTTCTTCCCTCTTGCATCCTATCATCTAACATAAGATCTATTAAACGTGGTTAACCTTACATCACAGCATTTAAACTATAATATACGAAGGAGAAAAGTGAACATCCCCCAAGAACTCTGCATCCTCCTCTGGGGAGAGTGAACATGTTCTCTGCATGTGGGTTATTTGTTTGATGTTTGATTGACAGAAATACAACTCGGTTACTGACTTTATTTGGAGGCTAAGTGTGCTTTAGGAAGATGTCTATGACGCCAAGCTGACAAGGGCAGACTGTGAAGGTTAGTTATAGGTGTCAACTTAGCAAGGCTGCAGTCCCCCATTATTCAAGAGACCATGAATCTACATGTTGCTGTGTGTTCTGTAGGTGTGCTTAACGTCCATCTACAATCCATTGAATCTAAGTAAGAGATTATCCTCCGTAATATGAGCAGGCCTCATCCAGTCAGTTGAAAGGCCAGCCTTAAGAGCAAAACTGAGGTTTCCACGAGAAATCAGGTCTTCTGCCTGAAGACTGCAGCTCAGCTCCCACCTGAGGTTGCCCAGCCTTCTGGCCCAGCCTCCTGGCCGGGGTTAACCCCGGCCTTCACAATCCCATAACCCAGTGAAATACACTTCAGACACATCTATCCTCCTGCTTCTGTCTGATATGATTTCCCTCTCCAAATACCCCATCACCATATTATTTTGTTTGCTGGAATATTTTATGACTTTTTTTTTTTAAAGATTTTATTTGAGAGAGAGAAAGAGAGAGAGAGCACATGAGAGGAGGGAGGGTCAGAGGGAGAAGCAGACTCCCTGCTGAGCAGGAAGCCCGATGTTGGACTCGATCCCGGGACTCCAGGATCATGACCTGAGCCGAAGGCAGTCGCTTAACCAACTGAGCCACCCAGGCGCCCCTATTTTATGACTTTTGAGGTGAAAAATTCAAAAACCACCAATGCAGTTTACAGTGAAAAGGCTCATTTCTGGGATCCCTGGGCCCCAGGTACTTAGCTCCACTCCTTGGAGGCTACCAGTGTTACCAGGTCCTGCTCTACTATACACAATCAAACATGAATGTACACGTCTATTTTTTCATATATGAACTGCAGCACACCATGCAATTTCACACCATGCTTTTCTCATAGAACATCATGTCTTGGATTTCTATGTCAGTAACTAAAGCACTTCTCCATTCTTTTCCCATTGGGCAAATGTAGTAATTTATTTAACCAGTCCTTTATGATTAGGGTGACTAAGTAATCTCTTATCTAACGTGGGACACTTGAGAGTTGAAAGGAGCATCCATTCATAGGGGTGCCTGGGTGGCTCAGTCAGCTGAGTGACCCACTCTCGGTTTTGGCTCAGGTCAGGGTCGTGGAGCCCACTGCGGGCTTGGCACAGAGTCTGTTTGGGATTCTTTCCCCTCCTACTCCTTCCCCCTCTAGACCTCCCCCTCTAAAATAAATAAAAATCTTAAAAAAAAAGGAGCATTAATAATTACACAAAAAATAGCAGGTATAACCTGGTACTGTTAGGAAGCACAGAACATAGGGCTCACCCTATCTATGATGGGATATTTAGGTTGTTTCCAGTCCTTTGATATCACCAAGTTGCAATGAATACAGACCTACAAATATATAATTTTGCACATCCATTTGTATCAGGAGAAATTTCTAAAGTGGAATTGCTGGGTGTAATAACTAATTTTTTTATCAACATGACTGGCCACAGGGTGCCCAAATACACATGATTTCATGTCTGTGAGGATGTTCCCCTATCATTCGACCTGTGGACTAAGTGGACTGCCCTCTGCAGTGGGGGTGGGCATCATCCAATCTACTGAAAGCCCAAATAAAACAAAAGCTGGGGCAAGAAGGAATCTGCTGCTTTTGTTTGCCTCGCGTTAGGACATCTTATCTCATCTGCCCTCAGTGGGATTCACACCACTGGCTCCCCTGGTTCTCCGGCTTGCAAATGGCAGCCCATGGCAGTTCTCGGCTTCCAGGAATTATGAGAGCCAATTCCTCACAATAAGGCTTTTATATTTGTGTAACATTTATATTTATACACAATAAAAAATGTGTATCCTACTGGTTCTGTTTCCCTGGGGAATCCTAATACACTAGGCCAAAGTTATGTGCATTTGGAAGTTTCAGAGATTGCCAAACAGTCCTATATAAAGGGTATATAACAATATGCACTTCTCCCAGCAAGGCTAAAAAATGCCTGTCCTACTCTCTGAACAATCCTTTTCCCACTGACTTATGTCCTCCTCAAATTGTTTTAAGTCCTCATGTATGTACTAAAGTCTGTTTCTGGGTTAGTCTGTTCCATTGATCTGTCTAATTGTATACCTAATCAAGTTTATACTACCTTTTAAAAGTAGTTCATCGGGATGCCTGGGTGGCTCAGTCGTTAAGCGTCTGCCTTTGGCTCAGGTCATGATCCCAGGGTCCTGGGATCGAGCCCCGCATCGGGCTCCCTGCTCAGCAGGAAGCCTGCTTCTCCCTCTCCCACTCCCCCTGCTTCTGTTCCCTCTCTCGCTGTCTCTCTGACAAATAATCTTTAAAAAAAAGTAATAGTTCATCTAGTTTTACATTAGCTGTGCAAACATTTCTTAGTGATCTTCATCTACTTACTTTTCCAGATAAACTGTTGAGCAATTTATCTATCTCCTTCAAACAGAAATTTCAATAGTAGCAGTATTCACCACGCAAAGGTAGTGTTCACCATGCCAAGGTTAAACGTATCTCCATTTACGATAGTTTCCTTTTGGGGGGACTTTTTAGGCGTACAATTATTTTTACCTGAAATTAAAGTTCTACATTTCACATTAGCAAAAATCTCCTGGACACTATTCAGTAATAATCCAGACAACGGGAATTCTAGATTTGATTTGATTTTGGGGGTAATTCTAGGTTGTTACCGGGCGCAGCTTGTGCGTTATTAGGTTTTACGAACTATTTCTAGCTCCCTGCGGGTCAACCGTGCCTTCTTGCCTCTATGTCCACATAAGGGCTGTTGCTCTTGCCCAATTTCAGTGCCCCCCCTTTCTGGGTTTCTATAGCTTGATAGCTGTAGAGCTGTTATCACAGCACTTCCTATACCTGTTTTTATTTACTGAGCTCTAAATTCTTTAAAGGATGGTACCACAATTTAGTTTCATATTTGTATAGAAAGAGGAAGCAGGGAGAGGGGAAGAGGAGGGAGGGAGGAAAGGAGAAGCCAACAAGCGGGCACCTGTGCTGGCTGACTCCTCACTGCACAGATCCAGGGACAGCATTCACATGCTGCACATGAAAGGCTCCCCGGGAGCACAGAAATAGGATGTGAACTGTCCTCCTTAGAGCTCTGCAATGTGGCAGCTCTCGTACATGGCACACACCAGGTGTTCAGTGCACGTGCACTGACCTCCACCAGTGACAAACTGATTGTCAAACAACCTAGGAGGAAACCAACAACTCTGAATGATGGACTGCCTTCCTAAATATAAAGGGCATATTCTAGAACCGAGATACTTCTTTTGTAGAGATTAAATGAGGCTCATGGATAAGGTTTGCATTCCAACTGATAGTAGGTAAAACAGTCTCCAAACTAATATCTATAAGCAACACTCACTGCTTATTCATGTAGTTGAAAGAGTGACTTCACTTAATTATATTCTTTAAACTTTTGAAAGAAGCCGGAAAAGAAACCTATTTAGTGCTCAAACTATACTTTAAAAAATACTATTTTATTTATACTCATGTATGAAAAAAAAATGGCTGTACTACCATGTTTACATACATACCAATATTGGAAGCAGAACCCAATCAAGAATCACATCTAAATTTTATAAAGAACACACAAACATTAAAAGACTGATTGGTTATAGAAAGCAGAGTGGAGAAAAAAAACCATTAGCTATCATTTCAATTTCATTAAAGAGCAGCACCCTCTGAGAATAATCAAGTCAATTAGTAATATCTGTATTGCAAAATAACATATACATAGAAAAGTTAGTGATTGTACTGATTTTATTACTTTTACTAAGCCATTTTATCTTCCTCACACTCAATGCAAAGAAATAAAATATAAAGAAAAATATGTCCTCATTATTATTCACAATAAAAAGGGTCTGCTTAATTCTGCAGGCCTGGGCATACTATATAATAGGGAGCACTTAATGGCTCAAGTGGATCAAAGTACCATTTTGGTTCTGACCCACTGAATAGTATCTCATGCATATTTGTGACTGGACTAACTCCATGGGAGCTGTGATGTACCGAACCATCTCTGTGGTATCCCCAGATCTCACTACATCAAGAAAAGACCCTATACAAGAAAAGATAACAATCAATCTGTCCATAAATTATATCTATGGGCTCCTTCTTTAGTGTCAGGTGGGAAAAAGGGCCCTTTCTTGAGTACATGGATACAAGGACTGTTGTGGTCTAAAGATTGCTGGACTGATATTTTGTCTGTTATAATGGAAATAAAGTGTACATCAAAACCACTGTCAGATTAAGAAACTTCCACAACTTGTCTCAATTCTTCAAATAATGGAGCAAGTTCCTTTTCCAGGCTGACAATGAGTCCTAAAACAGAGATTAAGAAAATTAGAACATCAGAAAAATGTTCCTGAAAAAGTCTTTGACTTAGATCTCCTCCTGTCAAAATTTAGTTTCTAAAAAGCAAACAAGATCTTTATTCCCCCAAAATAAAGCAAAATACTGTAATTCTAACTGATCAAAAGCTCTTTTCATTATGAAGTTTATTTTCATCATCTATTATTAAAGTGAAAAATATTTATATGTATTAGAAGATATTATATGCACCGTAATTTTGTTAGTTTTGAAAGAAAAACTTTAATTTATACTTTATTGTTTCAAAATCTGTACTGAGGGAGCCTGGGTGGCTCAGTTGGTGAAGTGACTGCCTTCAGCTCAGGTCATGATCCTGGGGTCCTGTGACCGAGCCCCACATCGGGCTCCCTGCTCAGCAGGGAGTCTGCTTCTCCCTCTCCCTCCCACTTCCCCTGCTTGTACTGTCAAATAAATAAATCTTAAAAAAAAACCACCAAAAAAACAAAAACAAAATCTGTACTGATTCAGAAATGATATAAGATTTTTACTTAAAAAGGTACATTTTTCCTGAACAAATTTTAATGGACTTTATCAAAATAGAGGTAGACCGCCTGCTTCAACCTTGAGCAAAGAAATATTATAAACTTATTTTATAAATTTGGTGAAGCTAAAGTATAAATGGGTATTTCAAGTGAAAAAATTAATTTTAAAGATGAATGGTAGGAGTATAAAACATACACTTCCATGTTTAAAATTCAGCGCTGATGTACTGCATGGGTGTTATACGCAAACAATGAATCATGGAACACTACATCAAAAACTAATGATGTACTGTATGGTGACAAACAAAACAAAATAAAATAAAAAAGAAATTAAAAAAATAAATAAAATAAAATTCAGTGCTGAATCTGGGAGACAAAGTAGTCTAGAAATGAGCATATCTAGCTTCTCCTTAGTTTACCAGAGTGAAAAGCTTAGATATCTTATATAATATATAGTTAAGATATAATCTTATACATCTTAGTTTGTTTTACGCTCAAAGATCTTCCTCTATTTCACAGTATATTAAAAGCATCTGGGATCCTCAAAAAAATGTTCTAGATACTAAAATACAATTCTGTACATTATCAAAATTTATAACAACTGATGATTTAGTACATGATGGTGATTTATCACAATTGAGGTTTAATATACTTTAAATATCAACACCACTACTATCCTATATAATTTACAAAGTGTTTTCACATAGAGCATTTTACAGCTTTAAAACATTAACGGAAGAAACCTTCTAGATCATTAAATCTAAACCCCTCATTTTAAAGATGAGGAATCTAAAGACAGGTTTCAGTGACATAGCTGGAAAATGACTTGCTCAAACAACTTGGAAATAAAAAAACAGAAAAAGAATGCATAACAGTTCTAAACGGCAGCCAAATCTAAAGAAGACAAGACTTAAAAAAAAAATCCCACTTTATCCAAAAGGGAGTATGCAAATTACAGAATACAGTCATTGATTTAAACATAAATATCCAGTGAAGGCTACTGGATAAAATGGGATCTTACAACCTGCTACAGAAAGTACAGCGTCCTGGCATTTGTTCTCAAATTCTTCGACCCTCAGGAAGAACACATCTAAGTTCATCCTAAGTCCCGCTCTTAGAATTTTCAATCACATTAATCTTGCCCACTATCACTGAAGATTTTACAAACTCTAATAGATGGGTCTACATAGAATTGAACTCATCCTGGGTGCTTGGGTGGCTCAGTTGTTAAGCGTCTGCCTTCAGTTCAGGTCATGATCCTGGGGTCCTGGGATAGGGCTCCCTGCTCCACGGGGAGTCTGCTTCTCCCTCTCCCTCTGTCTGCTGCTCCCCCTGCTTGTACTTGCTCTCTGCCTCTCTCTCTCTCTGTGCGTGTCAAATAAATAAATAAAATCTTTAAAAAAATTAAAAAAAAAAAAGAATTGAACTTATCCATTGACCATTTTATGTGCTTGGTTATCTTCTCTACTCTTTTTGTGTTTTCTTTCTTTTTTTTTTTTAAAGATTTTATTTATTTATTTGACAGAGAGAGAGATAGTGAGAGAGGGAACACAAGCAGGGGGAGTGGGAGAGGGAGAAGCAGGCTTCCTGCTGAACAGGGAGCCTGATGCGGGGCTCGATCCCAGGACCCCGGGATCATGACCTGAGCCGAAGGCAGACGCTCAACAATTGAGCCACCCAGGGGCCCCTCTTTTTGTGTTTTCTTAAGCTGTTTTAATGTGAACAAGATGTAGCATTCAAGGGTGAAGATAATTTAAATTTTCCTTTCTATCTTAAAGGATCACTTACCCACAAAATGTCTCATTTGAACTAGAAAATAAGCCCATGAGACAGAAAGAGCAGATATTGACTCCACTATACAGCTAGGGAAAACGGAATCCACAGACGTTACTCTTCTGGAGACCAGGGAATAGATGGTGGAGCTGGGCCACGAAGTCAGGTTTTCTGACTCTAAATCTACTACTCCTAGCATATTAGACTGTATGGTGTTAGAAGAAATTAAAAGATGTATCTAAGGTAGTTAAAACACACCTGTATTGGCATTGCTGCTGGCTATGAAACTCACCACCAAAGGTAAACGATTGAATTGAACCACCTAAAAAGAAAGTAAGATTTAAATAATATGTTATTCAAATGAAATACCTCGATCTTTCCAAAACTTTTATTTAAATGGCCAATGTGTACGATACTACCTACCATCATGTAATATGAAAGAGCTAAAAATAAGTATTTCCGTGCAAGAGACTTACTGAGTATCTCTTAGAGACATTATCATTACTCAGCCTGCAGAGCTGAAGGCGGGGCTATGTTATCTTCACCTCTTTAGCTCCCAAAGCCCAGTGGTGTGTCAATTATTACATGGCAGGGGCTCCAGAAACACTTGTTAATTAAATTAAATGGCTGAAGTCAGTATGTCTCATTCAAGTAGTTATACCTTCATGATTTTCCTGCTTCCTGTGTACCGCTATTAATTTAAATTTAACTTCAAATCAACTATTGTTTAAAAGAACTTAGCTTCAAACTAATCCTTATCGATGAAATTAAAGGTCAAAAGGGTTGGTTATCTTTTGCCCAATACAAATGAAAATATGAACTTTTAAAATAAAAACATCACTTGTGTAATATCAGCAGTACAGGAATCAAACTGGGAAACACTGCTCTAAAGCAGAAGCTAGTAATTTATTCTAAACAAGAAAATGCAGCTAGAGATCGAGAGGTATGCAGCAATGAAATTCTTTCATAATAACTCACTCATGATATATATCTTCCAAACCAAATGAAGGAATTAGCAGCAATAACAAATTTCAATAACTTATCATTTAACCATGAAGGGAAATTTTTATCTGTCACAAGAAAAAAAGTGTGTTATTTGAGAAATCACATTTGTTAAGCTAAGGGCACCATCTACTGGAGGTAACAGTCACTATTACCTGACTTACCTTTTTAGGATAATGTATTTTATTAATAAATCTTTTAATTACTTTTCCACATCAATTAATTCCTGGTATAAAATGTGAAGACAATTACTACAATTCAACACAACCAATTTGAAGGCTAAGATTTTAAAATGCCATCCACACTTCAAAACTAAAATTTAGAATAACAACATAAGCTATTTTATATAGAAGACATATTAATAGGTGAAAGCAGCAAACCATTCAATAATTATGAACCTACCTGGTAGGTGTTATAGTAACAGATGATACTTTTATTTTTTGAAAGTCCAAGTTTGCTCCCTTGGTCTGTTGCAAGGGCAAAAGTAGATAAGAAACCAGGTCTCAAAGCATGTTCTGGGGCATTATCATTGGCCACTGGGAATACAAATGACTTAAATAAAAATCATGCAGTGGATATGACAGAAGTTTAACTGCACTTTTTTTTAAACATAAATCAGTAAAAATTTTGAGCACAAGGGTTATTATACTTCACAATACTGAAAATCGTATCACTAATTGGGTCCTGTCAATTTAGATGAGAAAAACTGCTCAATCAGAAACTGAGTGATCATAACTAAGGGAAGAAATACTGATTCTCACAACTTTTTTTAAAGAATACTAAACATTTATATTTTCTTAATATCTGCTTTAAAACAAATTAATCAGTATGTTTAATAAACTGAATATTCTCGTTAACTGGGAGTCAAGCTAGAATAAAATCACGAAAAAAACTTCCAGAAAACATTTGCGCTCATGAAACTTATAGCAGTATCACTTATAGATGTTAATAATTTTGCAGCTGACTGTCTGTTTTAAGTCTCTTTCACTCATTAAAAGGCCTGAATGGAGTTAGTTGTACCAACAGCTTTAACACAGAGATCCTAAGAAAGAACATTAGAGCTTGAGATTATTTTAATTTTGTTCAAAGCCCTCATCACAGAACTGAGTAAATGCAAAAAGGCAGGCGACTTACTTGCCCACGGCCACCTATGTTTTATGGTGGGTGAGAACGCACAGTGAACCACACAGATAATGGGTTCTATTATTATCTTGTCACTGACTCATGTGCAACTTTGCACTAACAATGTACTCTTTGCACTTGACCATCTTTGTTTACAAAATGAAAGAATTAAATTAGGTCATTTCTAAACTTCCTTTCAATTCTAAGGTCTAAAATTATCTGACATGTATGATAACCTCAGGTGGAAAATAAACTCTAAACAAAATGTAAAGAAAATCATTTAATCTTTCTTTGGTAAAGCTATTACAGCGTCCCTATAAAACTATGAACATCCACGTGATGATACCTCAAGACGCAAGCAGTAAAAATGGTCTTAATACACACTGACTCAGTGACATCATATATACTTAAAAAAGACAAAAGCTGAGGGGCACCTGGGTGGTTCAGTCGGCTAAGTGACCAACTCTTGATTTTGGCTCATGTCATGACCTCAGGGCCCTGAGATAGAGCCCCACACACTGGGACTGGGCTCTGGCTTGAGCCAGAGTCGGCTTGTCCCTTTCCCTCCCCCTGCTGGCCTGCACTCTCTCTCTCAAATAAATAACTAAATTCTTAAAAAAAAAAAAGCTGAAAACCAGGCAAATTTTTTTTTCTTTTTTTAGGTTAACAAGCTCTTCTTTAGGTAAAAAAGTCTTGTTAGAGTCTGGTTAACTAAAGTAATTGTGAAGTTAAAAGTTTAAAAAATATCTTATTTCCAGTAAAGAAGGAGAAAATCAATAAAGATTCAACAAAACAATCAATATATGTTAATTCAAATGTATGGAAGTTTATCCCCAAACCACTAGCAGTACTAATTGAAAAATAAGACAACGGGGGAAGTCTGTGTGTATAATGTATGTAGCTGCATACAGGCCCAGTCTCAGCACTGACATTTACTAATGTCTTTCATGAAACACTGGCCTTGTGATAAATCAGGCTTAAACTCTTGACGGCCACACAATCCATTTAACATGTCGTAAGTTATAAGCTCCAACCCAGTCTTCAACATACAAAAGCAAACGTCTCCCCCCAAACTAAGACCGTCTCCTGGATTTATTAAAATAGCTTTTATATGCTTGCCTTCTGCACTACTCAGACCTAAATACGTTTTTGTTCAAAAGCAAACATGACACTGGCATACAGCCACTCAGTTTTACCTTTAATAACGGGGACTCCATCTCTATCTGACACAACAATAGCATGGAGCCCTTCAACACTAGAAAGAAAAAAAGTTAAAATATTACGAAACATTTCATTTTCTCAAAATATGCACCTCAAAGTCATTCTGGGGATTTTCATATATATATTTCTGAAAAACTATGTCAACTCAGTTACTGACCCCATAATTTCCTAGATGTCTGCAAAACTTCCATAAATTGAATAAACGTGTGTATTACTGACATGCTTATAATCTTTACAAATTTATACAATTTACTGATAAAGATCTAAAACACAGACAATTCTCCATTATAGTTGCTAATTGTTTTTCCATTATTTATGAAAGTATGACAGGTTAACAGCAGAAGCTATAGTGACAATGGTATCAAGTGCCATCAAGATATCTGTGGGTTATGAGAGCCTATAATCTGTGGGTTATGAGAGTGGGTCAGGGAAGGCTAGTGACAGCTAAGCTGAGATGTTATGGCACTGGTCAAGAGAAGAGGAGCAGAAAGATTGTTGTTCTAGGCTGAAGGAACACAACGGAAAGAATGAAGGTCATGTAGCAATCTTTTCAGCTATGCCTACATAAGAAGCAGTAAGGGGAATGGTCAAGACTATAACCATCTTGTCCAGTCTAGGCTCTCCTACATTTACTATTTACGCTACCCTGGGCCAGTTATGAAACCTCTGTTAGCCTCCGTTAACAATATGAAAATGGGAATAATTGTACTTATGTAACTATTGTAAAATGTAATAATGCATGTAAAGTCGAGGCTGGTACATAGTTAAAATTCAAAAATATTAATTATTACTAATTAGCATCAGAGTGTCATCTGCACACACTGACAATTTATTAGTGCAGTTTAAGTATTAACTCATTAGAGAATTCCTAAAGCACAGAACTAAAGTGCCAAAAATTAGAATGGGAAAACATTCTCAAATTTTCAGCCCCATAATCTTGAAATATCCAAGATTGCTACTCAGAAGTATGTTCAACGTTCCTACTATAACCCAGATTATCCATTCCTTATTGTGTTAACCTTAACGTTTTAAGTTAGAAATGAGGAATAGTCATATTAAGATACTGAAATTAAATTTTAAAATCCCAGTGGCAAAAACTTTTAAGTGAGAGAAGTGTTACTAAATTTTGAGAAAATGTTATAAACACTACCATTTATGAACCTCACATTAAAAGTAAGAATGATGAAATAACCCGTATAAACATTTACTGGTATTATTTTCTATTATCATTCAATCCTGGAATTATCTATAAATTAAAATGTGCTCTGTAAGGTTAATGTATAAAACAAATTCTTCTTAGTTAAAAACTAGGTTATCTAAAAGTATACTCTACTGATACCTGCACACACAAACTACTTTGTACAGTTATCAACAGCAACATCACCTGAAATAGGAAAACACTAGAAACCTGTCTATCAAGAAGAACGAGTCCAATAAATTATGACACACATACACAATGGAATACTCTGCAGCCATTAAAAACAAAGAAACACCTCTTTGTATGTACTGGGGAGGACTGATCTCAAAAGTATATTGTGAAGTGAAAACACAAGAGTTTTGAATAGTGTGTACAGGAAGCAAAACTTATATAATAACAAGTGTAGGCACATGTATGTATATGTAGTGATGGACTGAATGTTTGTGTCACCCCCAAAATTCCTATGTTGAAACCCTAATCCCAGGATGATGGTATTTGGAGGCGAGGCCTTTGGCAGGTCATTAGGATATGGGGGTGGAGCCCTCAGATATCAGAATAGTGCCCTTACTTGAGGCTAGAGAGCCTTCCTTCTACCATATGAAGATATGGGAAGTCTGCATCTGCAACTCAGAAAGGGGCCTCGACCAGAAGTGAACCATGCTGGCACCCTGATCTTGGAGTTCCAGCCTCCAGAACTGTGAGAAATAAATTTTGGTTATTTATAGGAAATCCAATCTATGGTATTTTGTTTTAACAACCTCAACTAAGACCTATGTGTCTACGTGTAAATATGTGTGTTTATATACATGCTTGTTTGCAGGTGTGTAAAATATCTTTGAAGGTACTGGGTGCCTCTGAGAGGGGAACTGTGTGGCTGGGGGACAGGGATAGGAAAGTTCTCACTATGTCCTTCAGTTAATTTCTGAATCTTGAACTTTATGAATGTACTGCCTACTCAAAAGATAATCAAATTAAAAAGCAGGTAAAGAGTTCTACAAAAAACGTTTAGAAATATCTGTGTCACCACAGTTTCTTTTCTCTTATTTCCAAGATAGTTAACTTAAATGCCAACTAATGCACCAAAAGAGGAGGCAGAAATAAAGACTTTCTTTTTAATGGATTTTAAATTCACAGAGATAAATGCCCAACAAAGTAGAAAAATTACTCACATACTTAAAATACCCACTTAAAAGAAATTAGGTCACAAATATAAAAGGTGTTTCCAATTCTACACAGAGTGAACAAAAAATAACATGAGTACATTTTACTAACAATTGAAAATAAGCATGATGCGTTAATAGGTACGCTGCACGTCTAGAAGGAAGTTAATGTTATGAAATAGTCTGCAGACATCTAAACCTTAAGCTTAATAAAACAAACACTTTTATTCCAAAAAAGCAAATGTTGCATTTGTAATCAGACATCACACTTCATTCTATACATTATAATAATGAAACATTTCGTTATTTTAGCACACAAAAAGTTGTGATTATTAAAGCCTGAGCCTGCTTTGGGTCACAACTAGACTTAAATACAAATTCAAGAACTTTATTTAGCAGGGAATTTACACATGAACAAAAACACGTTCCATTCACTGGCTGGGTGTTGAGAGGCACGGCTCCAACAACTGAGAGCACGAACCCACAGCTCTGAAGCCAGGCTGCCCTCGTCCAAGGCCCTTCGTTTTACAGACATCTAGCAACAAATCAAAATGCTCATTTTACTACTTTTCTTTGTAAGTGTTCAATATCATTTCTTCATTCCTTTAGCTTTTGGGATACAATATGCCTACTTTCAAGAAAAAGTCATGAAGGAGTATGAATCAAACTGGCCTTGGTCATTATGGGGGAAAAAACCAAACTAGAACAAAACACACGGCTCTAAGCCCTTTCTTCCACCACAGCAAGATTTTCATCACACTTTTACAAATACCCTTTTTACAAATGTCAACTATGCTTCTGCTCCTCTACTCTGTTGCTAGTGTGGTATTTCCCTCCAATCCTACTGGTCAATTTTACCATCCTTTCAATATGCTAAACCTCCAACAAGGCAGATACAGAGAAACACAGAGAGCCTTCACTTTGTACAGTTCCAATACGGCCGCATTTTAGTTCTCACAGTTGAATTAAATAACACCACTCCTCCTGACAGCATGGCTCAAATTTCAGGAAGTATGGTATATTAAGTGAGTAACTGCATACAGTACAAACCTCACCAACTCTTCACACAAATCACCATGTGAGTAACTTTGCAAATGACAGATCGCACTGTGTCAGGAACCAACCACATCACTTCTTTCAAAGCGTGTTGGTGACTGGTCACTGAGCATCTGTTCCTCGGGGTATGCAGGGACGGTAAAGTACACAGTGTTACCTCCTTGTCTTCCAATGATCAATAAAGCATATGACATTAAGAAGAAAAACAGAACTGAAATAGGGAACTGGCTAATCAAGATGAAACAGAGCAAAGGAAGGGAAGGTGACAATGCTGGAAGTGAAATTCAAACAGAAAGTAAACACTCAGAGAAGAAATAACCGGCCGAAAGCATGTGGACACTTTCGCTCTTGTGCACAAGACGTGCAGCCAGAGGAAGTTTGTGCCAGTGCACTCACTGACAGAAATTAGGCAAGCGGTTGGGATGAAGAAGATGAAGATATCCCACAGGAAGTGACGCGGGCAAAAAACTTCCCACATCGACAGTACAAAGGACAAAATGGTGGAAGCTGATCCAAACTTAGGAGTGTGCCAATTTGAAGGCACAGGAAAGATGCCTGCTCCTTAGCTTAAGGTTATACCTTTGGTATTATTTTACCGTGTCTGCAAACAAGTAGGCACTGTTCCAACTATACTCGAGAAGTTTTCTACAAAGAAATAAACACTAGTACTCAGTATTTCCAGTTTCTCAATTGCAGTGTATTAAACAAATATTGCTTTTAGCATCTGTTTCCATTCCCTCAAATAGAACCAACAAAAGAGGTTTTAAGGTTTTGACAAAATTTTCTAAAGATCACAAAACAACTGTCATTTTTCCCAGGGATTACTAAAATTGCTTTGGATGGTTTCAGCGTGTACAGTCATTTTCACGGCCCTGCACTACTGTGCAAAGCTAGGACTGCCTGCTCGTCATTAGGCTGAGAACAGAATCAGTGTTCTAGTTTGCACTAGAAGGAAGAGAGTAAAAATGAATTTAAGTATTACATTAACATGAAACCAAAGGTAACAATTACTTAATGCTTCAATATCTTCTTCCTGAATATAACAGTACTTTCTTCCCTGAATTACAGACAAATATACATATATCAAACCAAGGAGATAATATCATTAATTTCTACTGGTTTGTGGTCAGGGTAAAGGCACAAGTCAATAGGCAAACCACATCAAACAATTCAGGCAAAAATCCAAACAAGGGAATTTTTTTTCTTTTTCTTCTTTTTACCTACCTACAGAAATAAACTGACATACAAAACCTTTTTAAATTCACACATTTGGATAATAAAAAAGAAGTAAAAAAAAAGGATCTCACCATACATTCTGCTACATTACACCTCAAAGGTTATTCAATTATGCTGGAATGTGGAAATGGATGTCTCAAGTTGTATTCCTCTCTCTCCTGTCCTTAACTCTAAGGTATTAACTTTACACTAAACTAAATGTGAATTTTAATACAACTGAAGTGACAAAGTCCTTTGAACCACAAAAATATCTAAAAGGAAGTTTGCTGTCCTTCACACAGAGCCTAATTGATAATGAAGCATCAAATGGACTGGGTGCAGGCAAAAGAAGCCTTGCGATTTTTCCAAGTATGGATTGCTGTCTACGTATAGCATTTTTGGGTTATGCAGACTCAGAAATTAGGTCTTAAAAGTAATACTAAAGGAAAGGCAAGTTCTAGGGTTTTTCCCCTTAAAATTGCTCTAACTTCAGGCGCCTGGGTGGCTCAGATGGTTAAGCGTCTGCCTTCGGCTCAGGTCATGATCCCAGGGTCCTGGGATTGAGTCCCGCATCGGGCTCCCTGCTCCTTGGGAGCATGCTTCTCCCTCCCTCTCTCTCTCTCTCTGTCTCTCATGAATAAATAAATAAAATCTTTAAAAAAAAAAATTGCTCTAACTTCTTCAAAGTATAATCCAGTAAAAACTGCTATGTTAGTATATTTGAAAAAACTCTAAATAAAGTGCCAAGAAATACGGGTTCTAACCCTCTGGCATTCACGAGCTGTTTAACCTCAGACAACAAGTCATATACAACTTCTCTAGGCCTGATATTATGTATCTGCAAATTCAAAGGACATTGCTTGTGCTGCCTAGCGTTATTTGAAAATGCTAACTAACAATATACACATACTATTAGTCTAAAATAAATAGAAACAAAATGCTACATAAAATCAACGTATATAATGCAGAACTTATTTAATAATAAATTAGTAATTTTTTACCTTGGTAATTTCTTATACAGGAATCGCTTTAGGTCCTGAAAGAGAATATAAAAAAATCATATTATAACAATATGCCTTGTACTGGTTATCTAGATAGTCCTATCCACATTTCAGGTACTTTAAATCATCTCTCATAATCTTTCTTGCTCGTGTTCTTTTTCTTTTTGATACTAGTTGTGTGACTTGGAACAAGTTATTTAACCTTTTTCTCTAAGCCCCAGTTTCATTATTTGTTGAGAAGGGATAACCACAGAACCTATGTCATAAGACTATTGTTAAAATTTATTGAGATGTATGTAAACGGATTAGCATATCTGGACAAATACACAGCAAATACATATTAGCTGTAAAATTAGATCATATTTTTCATACTATTTTACATCCTGTTGCTATTGTCCTATTCACTTGAGAGTATATTATAAACATCTTTCCTTGTCTACAGATAAACTTTCTCACATCACTTTAACAATGCTGGGTAAATTAACTTCTCTGAAACTCCATTTCTTTTCATAACTAAAGATAAATGACAACCTGTATCAAGTGTTAAGCATGGAACATAATTAGTACTAAAGAAATAAAAGACTATTTTATTTCCTCTCATTACACTCTCTCACCTAGGGAATTTCATTGACAATCCAGGTATCAATTATGAGGCCTACATAGGTACAGGAGGAATCTGTTGTTTTGAACCTCTAATCCCTACTATTCTCCACCCCTGGATGTTCATTTTATTTCACGTTAGGACCACCATCTTACCTCTGCTCTTATCTTGAACACATACATTAAAACTCAACTCATCATGTTTCATGTGAAATCCAGATTTCCTCAATCTCTTGTCTCCACTAATGGCACTACCAATCCCATTATTCAGGTCTGAAACACACAGTAACATTTAACCCTAACCTCACCTTTATCACTTCTAAATGATTTGTGAAGTCAAATGTTTTTAAAATGATCTCCTCCTCTCCTTTTCTTTTTCTTAAAGATTTTATTTATTTGACAGAGAGAGAGAGCAACAATCAGGGGGAGCGGCAGGCAGAGGGAGAGGGGGAAGCAGCTAAGCAAGCAGCCTGATGCGGGGCTCGATCCCAGGACCCTCGGATCATGACCTGAGCTGAAGGCAGACGTTTAACAGACTGAGCCACCCAGGTGCCCCTCTTCCTTTCCTTTTCAACTGACATTACAATTTAGCTTCACTTTAATAATTATTTATGACTCGTGCTGGCCTCCCAACTGGTAATCTGGTCTCCCACTTCTATCCCATACAGTTCTACACAATGCCAATAACCATATTATTCTCCTTCTCTATCTGGGTTTGAGGTGCTTCCCAGATGATTCCCTGTGCAGTCGGGGTTGTGAACTAATGTCTGGATGGCTCTCCACTGTTTAACAAATTCTCTACAACTTCTTTTAACATTTGAGCTTCTCTACAATATGGTCTACACCTAATTTTACAGTCCTGCTTCCTACCACTCCCTCATACATAACTCAGCCCCAGCAAGAGTGGACTACTCACAGCTCCTCCACACACATCTTTCCCTTTTCCATCTCTCAAACTTTGCTTACACTACTCATTTTAATAGTAATTCTCTATCAATCTTACTTTGAGAAAAACTGCCACTCATTATTTAGAGCTACTCTCAACCACCAAATACTCCAAATAAGCTTTCCTGATAAACACAAACCAGATGTGACCCCTCTCTCTTTTGAATTTTCACTCAGTTATATATATACACTTATGATCACCTGCCTATTATACTTAAAAAAAATTTTTTTTAAACCCTTATGGAGGGATGCCTGCGTGGCTGAGTCGGTTAAGTGTCTGCCCTCTGCCTGCCGCTCCCCCGTTCGTGTGCTCGCACACACGCGCTCACTCTCTCTGACAAATAAATAAATAAAATCTTAAAAAAACCAAAACAAAACAAAAAACCTTATGGAGAGGAATATACCTTAATCATCTTTATTTCACCCACAGCCCTTATTACAACAACTTTCGCAAGGTGATGCTCAGTAGATATATAGCAATTTGACTGTGCCTGGAGAAGAAGTTCTCAAGAACATAATGGCAGACACTCATAAATGGAGTGATAAAGGCATACAAAGTTCCTAAACCTAAAAAGAAAAATCACGTTCATATTAATGTTGAATGATCATTCAGCCTAGTGGTTAAGAGCATAAACTCTGGAGTCAGACTGCCTGGGTTGGTGTGTTGACTCTACAACTTACCAGCTGTGTAACCTGAGGCAATTTACATGATCTTTCTATGCCTTAGCCTCCTCAGCTAGAACACAAGGACAGTAACAGTGCCTACTTCATAAAAGCTGTAAGAATTAAATGTTCAATGTTTAGAAGAATGCCCAGCATGTAGGTAAAAGAACAACAGGATGTAAAATATAGACACATAAACAGTAGTAGTATCAACTCCTGTTTCTAGTAACTAGTACAATTAAGTTTCCTAAACTTACAATTTGGGTTTTATTGCTGTGCTAAAGAGGTATCAGTCAGAAATCATCTCAATTTGCTCCAGTGAATCTAGAGACATCATGACCACTTACTGGAAAAAAGTAGATTCACAGCAGCAAAACATTTAGAAATTCAAATGGTATTCCGAGCCTCTCTTCTGCCCGCCGGATTGGGGAGTGGGAAGAATACAATTTTCTCAACCTCAGACACCTTAGCGTCCTCCACCCCCACTGTGGGCAGAAAGTACCCCGCAAATCTCTTCGTATTAGTCACTCACTCCAGAGCCTACAGAAACTATGTGGGGGTGGGCGGGCTAAAAAGGAAACAAATTTCTCCTTGGGAAGCTTTACCTCTCCCGGCCCAGTAGGCCTCCACCAAACTCCCCACCCTCCCCTTCCTCTTGTGTGGGTGTTAACTCACATCCGCCATGACGAACCCCTTTCTCCCGCAGGATCAATCTCCACTCCTGGAAGAGAAACTCCGGGTGATTCTCCCCTCAAGACTTCTTCCCACCTCCAACCTAACAAGCGGGGTCAGCTCTCATCAAGGCCAGGCAAGAATCCGCGGCTCTAGGACTCGCAAACAGGGAAGCCGAAGTGAGGCGGGAGTGCCCAAATACCCAGACGGTAGCTGGCATGCCCTACCTCAGTCCACTCCACCCTGCACCCGCGAAGACCTAGGCCCAAAGGAGAGGGGAAGGGGAGTCCTCTCCCTCCCTTGCGTCTCACCGCCCGCGCCACCTGCGGGCCCGGGCTGAATACCGAGCAAAGCGGCTCGAGTTACCTTGCTTTCTGGGCTGCGGTGTTCCCTCAGCTATAGATCCAGGGACAGCCTGACAGACAGCCTCCTTGGAAAGCCGTCGTCACATGATTTGTGACCTCCTCCGTGTTCCAGGAAGCACTTTCTACGCCTCCGGGGCCTGATGATAGGAGATTTCCGGGGAGGCGCGGAGGCCTTTTTGCGTCGGGCGCCGCCCGCCCCGCCCCTCTGCGGGCTGCTCCCTGCGCCTGCGCAGACGTAGGGCCGTGGGGACACAGCCCGGTGAAAAGAGGGTTCCTTGGATGTCGTCCGGCATTAAAAGACCCGCCGGAAATGTATGCAAGGAGACGTTGTTGTGTGGGGAGGGCGCATAAATTTCATTAGTTTTTCAAGGCCTGTTATCTTAAGACCTTTTCTTGTAGATGAAAAAGTTTGAAGGGGTGTTGTTTACGAGCTGAACTGCAAGCAGGATTGCCTGTGCCCAGAAGTCCCAGTTTCCTGGGACGCCTGGCTGGCTGAGTCAGTGGAGCTTATGACCTGACCTCGGGGTGGTGAATTCCAGCCCCGCTGGGTGAAGAGATTACTTAAAAATAAAATCTTAAAAAAAAAAAAAAAAGGCCCAGGTACATAGTTTTCCGACCCCAATGTCCCCCACTGCCTTGGCTTTTCCAAGGATGCCACCCACGTGCTCTTACTCGAGGTCTTGTCTAGATTGAATAGAGGAGCCATGGGCTTTCTGGAGTTTTCACAGTTAGTTGCGCAACTCAACATACACAGATACTGGACAACCTTCTTTCATTGGCTCATGATTTAGAAGGCTATGCCTTCTAAGTTGCAACCATATTATTTTTTGTTTGGTGTCTTGTTTGCACATGTAACAAAAACCTACAGTAGGTGCTAAGAAAACGAAGACTGTGGGAACTTGTTAATGACTCATCTTCAACTCCCAATCCCTAAAAGTAGGAGAGCAAAAGGAATTAACTCTAGTTCAAGACATGGTGAAGAGTTGGATACTAATTTCCTTGTTATCCTTGAGAAGACGAAATGGTAAACTACAGCTCTCCCAACTGTTAGAAATGATCTCCTGATTATTACAAGTGAACTTGACGGTTCCATAGCAACTCACATCATTGAAGTTCGCTTCCTTTTCCTTATTTAAATCCTTTGATTTCTTAGCTTCTGGGATGCTGCATTACTTACTTTAGGTCCTCACCCATTCTAGTTTCCTAATTCTTTAGATCATGGCATTTAAAGCTTGTTTTTTGTTTCGTTTTTCTCTTTCCACATTTTCCTGAGAACGTGAGGCCTAAGTCTGCACCTTTCCTCAGAGTTCTAGGTTCACATTTTCGGCTGCTTGTCGGTTGTTGGGTACGTCTACATACATGTCTTGAAGTCAGCTCTGACTCAAAAGCTCCAAAAACTCCAATAAACCTTTTTCCTAATGTGTCTGTTGTTTCCCTGATTTTACTAGTCATGTGTCATGTTTGCTATCTTTTGTTCCTCGTGTCCGCTTTTCTAACCTAGCAATGATTTTTTTCATCTATATATTTTTTTCAATTCTTCATTCAAACCATTATTTAGCAAGATGATATCAATAGCCACTTACTAATGGCCGGATAAACCTTCCCAAAACAATGCACATTACTGATGCTCAAAAAAATCTTTAGTGATGTACCATTGCAGACTGATAAAGTTGAGTCTTTAATCTGGCACAAACATATTCTATTTTACTTCTGAACACATTCTAATGTCAATCCTATACTCCAGCCAAGTTGATAACTTCACCCTTCCATCACTGGTTATTCTTTCTCCACACTGGTTCTGGAGGGTCCTTTAAACTGAAGTGCTTCTTTCTCTTGTAGGGGAGGAAAAACATACTTCTACCCTTGTACCCCCTTAGGTTCTATGGCTGGGTCCAAGAATTAATTGACAGATTATCCGGTGAAAAACCATACACATTTATTTAATATTTTTATGTGTATATGGGAGTATTCAAAAGGAAATAAGGTCCAAAGAAGTCATTAGGCCAAAAAGTTACATGTCTTTTATACAAAGAACAACAAATTGTGGGGATGTGACAAGAAAAGGGGCTTGGGTAAGGGACAGTAAATTGTGGGACAGTGATTATGAAACATATGGGTGAAACCAATGGAAGATAGGATTATTTTAGTAGGCTTGTTTGTACGGGTCCATTTTGGCATCAGTCTCGCCTCTGGTGATAAGAATGTTTTCTTCCTGGTAGAGGGAGGGCACCTTTCTCACAGGAAATTTTATGACCTGCTTTTTAGTAAAAGGGGAGGTCAAAGAGTCCTTCCTGCATCTGTTTTCTTAGTGCCTTCAGCTCAAAATAATCAATATGCCTAAGTGGTGGGCGCCTGGGTGGCTCCATCGGTTAAGCGTCTGCCTTCGGCTCAGGTCATGATCTCAGGGTCCTGGGATTGAGCTCCGCATCGGGCTCCCTGCTCAGTAGGGGGTCTGCTTCTCCTTCTCCACTTTCATTTTAACACGTTCCATCCTAAAAACTATCCATGAATGATAGTTGACTTGGAAAATACTGATTTTCATTCTTCTTGAGTGGCACAAAAGGGAGAGCATAGCTTTCCAAGCTCTCCAAATACCACTATGTCCTCAAGTTGAAAAAACTAGGAAGATTTCTAGTTTCCAAGTGTGGTGGTTTCTGAATTAAGGCAGTCAATGGGAGACTGATCTGTCTGAATTTACTCACTGCCGCTGGTATAGGACTAGGGGAAATATTTACTGGCCTAAAAGATTATCAGCATTAGGTACCAGTTCTTCAAAGTGGGGTGTACCAGATGATCCCTGAGGTTTGGGAAGAAACTAGTAGAAATTGTATACATATACACACAAAGATTTTATCTCACCCATTCAAATTTTCTAGTACACAGCATACCAGAGAAATAGTATACTAGTATATATAATACATGAAACAGTTAAAACATGTACATGTTATTAAAGTTCTAACTTTATTGGTTGTATCAAAAGCCTTTGTTTCTGCTATTTTTAGCTTAAATTTCTCTTAGCTTTTGTATATGCCAGAGATGTCTCAATTTTTTTATTCTTCTTTTCCATAAAAATCTACCAATCATCTCAGTTTAGGTTGGCTCCACTATTTGTGTGGAAATTCTAATTGGTATTCAAACTCATGGGGAGGAGAGTCTTGCTGATTTTCCAACATACAAATATGAAAATTTTATCACTTAGATTGGCCAAGTTGGAAAATGTCTTGCTAATACTGATTCTGGCTATGGTTTGGGGTTTGGCCCATTGAGAATACAATTATAAGGCCATATGCAATAACTTTTATACTACCACTCATTGTCATCACACCCTGGATTTAGGCAGTGACCTGAGAAATGACTAATTCCTCTGATCTCTGGCTTGCATACTATAGATAATCAATGAGTCACTCACATGTCAACAACTTAAACTCCCCTACCTTCTTTCCTGCCTGACAGAACCCCAACTTTGGATGAGTTCAATGAGTTGTATTCCACTGCCTATACCTAGGCTGATGGGTTAGGCTGGAGAAAACACATACAACTAAACAGATTGTAAACTCTGTCACCAATCTGGGACTTGTAAAAATCCTACTTTTTCACTCGTCAGCTGACTCAGTGATAAAAAATATTCCTTCAAACTCTCTTCTAAGCCTGTTTCTTTTTCTTTTCCCCTCCCCCACTTTACACAGATAAACTGCCGATTCATTAAGCCAATGAAAGCCATGACATCTTACCACCAACACTACAAATCTACCTGCCTTTGCAGCACCCATCCTCCATGCATTCCTTTCTGAAAGAATGCTGGTGGTCGGTTAGCTAAAGTAATTCTTCCATCTGTCCAATGACATAATATCCTCCTGGACATATCAGGCACTTACTGCTATTATCCCTCTTTTTCTCTGTCTTTACTCTTTCACTTTCTACCTGCCCCTTTACATCAGAATGAAAAACAACAGAATAAAACAGATCTCTCATGCAATAAATACGATCTCACATAATTAATAATTGAAAAAATAAAAGCCTTCTTTAGAAACCACATCCTCTTTCAGCTAACATCCTTCTCTACTCCCTTTCACAACCAAATTTTTGGAAAGTTTTTAATTGCTGCCTCTGTTTATCCCAAATCCAATCAATCAAATAATTCTCGACTCTACTTCCTGAATCTCTCTCAGAATCATTCATTTATCTGTATTCCTACTCTAGTCCAAGCCATGATCATCTCTCCTTTGCCAATAACTTCCTATGCTTCCTATATTCATGTTTGCCCTCCAGTCTTCTCTGCACAATAACTAAAATGATACTTCAAAAACTCAAATCTCATTATGTAACTCCCTCCTCAAAAATCTCAAAGGTTTTCTACTGGCTTAGGATAATGTCCAATTATCATCATCATAATTTATATATGGTCTTATGGAACTTGGCCCCTACCTTATTTTAGTTCTCTAACTTACCCTGCCTTTCCTACGCTATAATCATACGAGTTTGTTCTCATGCAAGTTTGTTTTCACTTCCACAAAGTTGCTATGGCTTTATCAACTTAGCACACTCTGCCTGAAATATATCTCTAGCATCCACCTCACTCCTACTTATCTTGTCTTTTGAGTTTCAACTTAAGCTCACTTTCTCAGAGAAACTTTCCCTGATCCTCCCACAGTAGGTTAAGTCTTCTAGATGTGCTCTCATTGTACCTTGTAATTTTCTTTATAGCATTCACCACAATTATAATTAGTTATTTACTTTACATTTATTTTTCTGGCTAGATGTAAACTCCATAAGGATTTCTGTCTTGTTCAGTGATTAATTCCCAGCACTCAGCTCACTGCCTGGGATAAAGCAGGCATTCATACATTTGTTGAATGGTTGAATGAATGGAAGAAAGTGCATATTAAGAATATAAAACATGATAAAAACACATCATTTAGGGGTGCCTGGGTGGCTCAGTCATTGAGCGTCTGCCTTTGGCTCGGGTGGTGATCCCAGGGTCCTGCGATCAAGCCCTGCATCACGCTCCCTGCTCAGCGGGGAGCCTGCTTCTCCCTCTCCCACTCCCCCTGCTTGTGTTCCCTCTTTCTGTGTCTCTGTCTTTCAAA